AAAAAAAAAAAAAAGAGGTTAATAATAATCAAAGGGAAAAATGAGGAAATATAGATAACAAGATGCTTGGAGATTTCCAAAGACTCAGGAAGCAGTTTATGAAGAGCAAAGAGCCACTTTCAGAGTTGGCAGAGAGAAAGTCTTCCCTGTTGACCAATAATCTGAATTCAGGGTTGTAGCCTTCATATATGTAGATGTTTGTTAAAGCCATCCACTTGTGGCATTTCTGTTATAGTACTGCTAGGTAACTAAGACAATTGAGGAAACCTTTACATATTCCATTAAACATTTGAATTGGGTCACTTTTTTTTCTCAAATCCCAATTGAAAGTGCCAATGGCAAGGGGCTAGCAACAAGGGATTTCCTATGAAAGGAATCTTTAATCATACCCTGGGTCTCATGTTAGTGCAACTGTGAACTCAGAAGGTAGATTTATCCTTCATATTAGCAGGAGGCTAATCTGCTCTCTGTTAGCTTCCCATGGGCATTTGACACTCTTTTTGAGCGATGATCTTTAAATTATAGACCCATCTAGGCTGCTGTGAGCACTGAACATACCCTCAAATTACAAGTCTATTTGTGCTGGTCTCTGAGTGCATTTTTTAGTACTTAGGTATCAATTATTTTTAATTAGTTCTTGGAAATTCTCTTTCACCAATTGTAGAGCCATTAACTGCAATTTGCTAAAGAAAGTCATCACACTGTTTCCCATGCCCATGTACAATACTGCCTCACATTCTCTGACCTAGAAAAGCACTTAATATTTCCTCTTATTAGTTCCTCTATTATTCTTATCTGTTTGCCTCACACCCTGTGGAAATCTTAAAAACAGGGCAAAAGTTTCCTTTCTGCTCTTCATTCTTACTTTGTTCAATTTGTTGTTGTATTTAGAAAAACAAAATGGATTAATTAAGTACCCTACCTTAAGAATTCACCAGGTTTGAATCTGAAGCTGAAGATGAGACATACTTCCACCTCCATATTGTAGATGGTTTCAGATCACAAGTGATTGTGTTCCTTTCATTTAGGACTTTTTTTACATATTTAGTTTCAAAGTGATTAATATTTGCATTCCATCTTAATATTTTATTTAAATATATTAATAAATCAGAACCACATTTCTTTGCTAGAATAGGTTGTTCAAATTTTAGTAAGAAGATAATATTACCATAACTTTATACTAGGAATATATTAAATGTGGGATCAAAATACATAAGGACCTTGTACATAACAAAGAATCAGATCAACATGTAATTCAAAATCCAATTTAATAATTGGCTTGATGAACAATCAATTTAACATTTAAACTCATTGATTTGGAAATAATTCTTGAGTTATAAGGATTTATTTTATATGCCATGTTAAAAGTGGTTTAATTGAAACAATATATATTTACTTAAATAACTTATTCTATCAAAGAGTCTTTGAACTAAAAAATTAACTTGATTTATATCTGTAATTAAGATACAAAGATATTATGGAGTTTCGTGTGATTCCATAGGTCACTTAATTATTTTTAAATGACGCTTCTTAGATCAATTTTTGGCAACAATTTATAGGATCTACTAGATGTGCAGAACGTCTTGGACCCAGGTAAAAATTAAAACTAAGACCATCCTGTTAATTGGAATGTTCAAAAGAAATTAGTGTGAAATATCTAATATTATATTATATTTCCCTATTATTTTCATTTTCAAATTATTTTATCATATGTATCTCACTCAATTTCACAATCATTTCAGTAGACACATCTGTTGTTGTTGTTGTTGTTAGGTGCCCTTTAGTTAGATCCAATTCATAGTGACCCTGTGCAAAACAGAAGGAAACACTTTGCATAACACTCCATTCTCACAATTGTTATGTTTGAGCCTATTGTAACATCTGAAAGAATGTAATATCATTTTCTCCACTTCTAAAGAGCATTCTGACTGTATTTCTTCCAAGATAGATTTGTTTGTTCATCTGAAAGTCCATAGTACTTTTAATATCCTTCTTAAGGGACAGAATTCAAATGCACTGATTCCCTCAGCCATCCTTATTCAATGTTCATTTCCACATTGGACTGCATATGAGGAAGTTATAAATGCCATGGCTTGAGTCAGACACACTTCAGTCTTCAGAGGAACATCCTTGCTTTTCAACACTTTTAAAGAGTTCTTGTACAGCAGATTTGTTCAATGAAATATATTTTTTGATTTCTTGGCTACTGCTTCCATGAACATTGGTTGTGAATCAAAGCAAGATGAAATCCTGGAAAAATCATGTAGTCATTGATCATGATGATGATGGGTCTAGTGGGGATTTGGGTTTCCTTTATGGGATTGTGGTTACTCATTGGGCTCCAGAGCACCACAAGGCCAGTCATTTGAAACCACCATCCTCCCATAAACAGAGTCTCAGAAACTCACAGGGTCAGTTCTACTCAGATGAGTTGACATCACCTCAATGGGGGAGTTTGTTTAGGTTTTTATTTTTATATTGAGATGTGATCCACACTGAAGACTGCAGTACTTGATCTTTTTCAGCAATGCTTCAAGTCCTCCTCGTTTTCAGCAAGCAAGGTTGTGCCATGTGCACATTGCAGATTGGTAATAAGCCTGCCTCCAGTCGCATGTGGCTCTCTTCCTCATGAGGCCCATTTTCTCGGATTACATGCTCAGCGTGGTAACTGAATAAGTATGATGAACTGTTGCAACACTGACACACAATGTTCCCAATTTTAAACCATGGTCCATGGATGGGTTCTGCATGTGTTCTGGAAATTCCATTTTTCTCAATGTTTTCAGCAGTTTGTTATTATCTACAGTAACTTCTAGTAGCCATTGTGAAATACCGAGTGTACAAACTCTCAAATGGTCAATATTTAATTAGTAGAAGAAACAGGATTAATACCAAACATCTCTGATTCTTGTTATGGATTTGTTTCCCTTGTTACACCATTGTTAGAATAAAATGCCACATCTGAATTAAGATTTTAGCATTAATACCATCAAAACTTACATTGAGTTGTTTCTTTATTGTTTACATTTTAAATAATTGTAAAAAGACACAGAAAAATCTGCTAATGTGTATAAAGAATTAGAGCAGATGTTTAAGATCCGGAAGAGTAGTCATAGTAAAAACATATTTGTCCCAAATAGGACTAGCATTGGATAAAGGAAAACATTTGGAAAGATAATAGAAAGGGAATGAGTATTTCCATAACTCCTTTAGAGAAGTTACTCAAGATTGCATGCAATCACCTCATTTTTGCACAAAAATCATGATGTCTATGTATAAAAATGTTAATGTATAGACAGGACAGATTATTCATGTATTTAATACTTTTAAAAGGACATTTCAGAAACAAAAATGGTAGCAAAGCTTGAAGGCTCTTTATACCTAGAAGTAATGCAATATTGATATTTGAAAAACATCTTAAATTCCAGAAATAACTATTTTTCTACTGGATTTACCCATTCTCTTAATCTCTCTATTGCTATGTCCTTCTTTATTCATTAATTATGTACTTGCACCTCACCAAGCATCAGGCAAAAGTAACTAAGTTTGAGTATTAATAAATCTCACCATCTATCAAGCTATGTGCAATGTATTGTTTAATATCTCATTTAATTTTCATTGGAACTCTCTGCATTAAATTGTATTATAATTAAAATCCAATAATTTGAAGTTAATAGAAACTGTAAGACTAAATAAGACTTTAGTTTACTCTGAAGAGATCCTCTAAAGCAATGGTTCTGGACCTGTGGGTCACTACCACTTTGGGGGTCAAACGACCCTTTCAAAGGGGTCATCCAATTCATAACAGCAGCAAAATTACAGTTAGGAAGTAGCAATAAAAGTAATTTTATGTTTGGGGGATGGCTCACCACAACATGAGGAACTGTATTAAAGGGTCGCGGGATTAGGAAGGTTGAGAAACACTGCAAGAGACCTTGTGCAGCAGATTTACCTAATGCATTAAGTCTTTTGATCTCTTTACTGCTGCTTTCTAAAAACACTGATAGTGGATACAGGGAAGACAAAATCTTGACATCTTCGAGCTTTTTCTCCACTGATCCCAATATCATTTTTTGGTCCATTTGTGAGAATGTTGGTTTTCCTTATATTGAGTTGGAATCTATACTGAAGGCTACAATCCTTGATCTTCATCAACAAGGGCTTCAAGGCCTCCTCACGTTCAGCAAGCACGTTTGTGTCATCTGCATACCGAGGCTATTAATAAGCCTTCCCCCAAGCCTGATGCTGCACTTTTCTTCATAGAATCCAGCTTCATTGAGGATTTGCTGAATGTGCAGATTGCACGAGTATGGTGAGAGGACACAACCCTGACACATATCTTTCCTAATTTTAACCCATTCAGTATTTCCTTTTCTGTTCACACAACTGCCTCTTGATGCGTGTACAAGTTTGAATGAGCACAATTCTGAAAACTTCTGGAATTCTAATTCTTCTCAATGTTATCCACACTTTATTATGGGCTAAACCCTTTGCCTTGTCAATGAAACATATGCAGACATCTTTCTGGCATCCTCTGCTGTGAGCCAAGATCCACCTGACATCGCGTCCATGTCCTCTTCTGAGCATGCTCTGAATGCCTGGCAGTTCCGTGTCAATGTGTTGTTGCAACCATTGTTGTTGTATAACCTTAAGCAAAATTTTATTTCTTGGTCATATCAATAATCTCATTCTTTACTTTGAGCATTCTGTTGAGTGGCCTTTCTTTGGAATGGGCCCAGATATGTATCTCTTCCACTCAGTTGTCCAGGACCTTGCTTAACTGATCATGAAGTAAAATGCTATCTGGTTTGGATTGTATCTTATGCCTTCAAGGATATTCAATCAATACAAGTATCATTTAATTTTATGTGCCAACCATGAAATCTATTGATGAAGAATTTGAAGAATTCTACCAACAATTTCAGTCAGAAATTGATCAAACATGCAAGCAAGATACATTAATGGTTATTGATGAATGAAGCACAAAAGTTGAAAACAGAGAGGAAAGAACAGAATTTGGAAAATATGGGCTTCGAGGTAGAAATGAAGCTGGACATTGCATGATAGAATTTTGCTAAATGAATGAGTTGTTCATAGCAAATACCCACCTTCCCCCCACCCCCCAACAACAGAAAAGGCAAATGTACACATGCACTTCCCAGGATGGATTACACAGAGACCAAAATGACTCTGTGGGAAAACATGACAGAGCAGCTCAATCTCAGCAGCTCAGACCAGACCAGCACAGCCTGTGGAACATCCCAGCCATTGCTCAGATGAATGTGCAGGAAAAAGCTGAAGAAATTTAAAACAGATTCACGGGAGTCAAAAATAAGACCTGGAGTCTAAACAACCTGAATTTTGAGAACATCCCAAGAACAGGTTTGACACATGGAACACTAATGACCTGGTGAGCTGTGAGAAAACATCGAGACCATCATTCATGCGAAAGCAAAGATCACTAAAAAGACCAGAAAGAAAGAAAAGATCAAACTGGATGTCAGAAGAGACTCTGAAACTTGCTTTTAATCATAGAGCAGCTAAAGCAAATAGAAGAAAGGATGAAGTCAAGGAGCTGAATAGAAACCGTTAAAAAGGCAGCATGAGAAGACAAAGCCAAATATTATAATTAAATGTTTAAAGAACTATGATTAGAAGACCACAAGTGATAAAACGTATTCAGGATATCTGAAACTGAAAGGACTCAAGAAAAAAATAATTTGTGATTGGCAGGTCAAGAAATCTGATT